AGCGCCCGCTACCCCCGGCACGGCAGGGGACAAGGGCCAGGGCCCGCCCGGCTCTGGCCAGAGCCAGCAGCATATCGAGTGCGTGGTGTGCGGGGACAAGTCGAGCGGCAAGCACTACGGCCAATTCACCTGCGAGGGCTGCAAAAGTTTCTTCAAGAGGAGCGTCCGCAGGAACTTAACTTACACATGCCGTGCCAACAGGAACTGTCCCATCGACCAGCACCACCGCAACCAGTGCCAATACTGCCGCCTCAAGAAGTGCCTCAAAGTGGGCATGAGGCGGGAAGGTGAATATTTCTTCTCTGCTTCTCTCCCTGAGCTTTGCCCGCCTCTCCGGCCCTCTTTCTTTCTCTCTCACGGGGGTGGCTGCTGTATGGAGCTGGGACTCCTACAGTCCCGGCCCGTCCCAGCTTCCCCTGTCCCCGCTACCTTTCTCCCCTAGATCGCCCCTGCATGCCAGCCCCCGCGCTGCCTCCCCCTCCCGGCCTGCGCTCCTCTCCTTGGCTCCTCCACCCCGCCCGCTGCCTGCTCAGGATTGCGTCCCTGGGATCGTGAGCTGTGGCTTAAAATCCCCTTCCTTCCTCTGTCTTGGATGTGCTTGGTGTGTGTCTCTTTCCCGCGTGTGCGTGAGGATGCTTGGGGCTGTGCTGGCATGAACTTCGGGAGGGGTGCTTACGTCCCTCAGAAAACTGTTTCTGTGTTTTTGCATCCCACTTTCCCCTCCACCTCTTCTTCAGTTTCCTTTATTTAAAATGGGGGAGGGCTGGGGATTGGAGTACCCTGAACTTAGATTCATTGCTGCATCATCCTTTTGGAAGCTTAGCTTGGAAAAAAGAGGAGTGAGATTTATTGCACTTGTAGGTCTAATTAGGGGGGAAGGGGGGCTTCTGGCCTGTTCACTGGTTCCCTCTCCTCTTCACAGAGCTAGGGCCGCCTCCTCCAGAGCTGTGGCCTTGTTTTCACCCCTCTACTTTGAAAGGAAAGTTTGTGACTGAACCGTGCTTTCATAGTTGTGTCATTTTTAAAAAAGCATGATACTCGTTTAATTTCTTCATCAAACTCCACCCTCTGCTTAAATACTGCATACAAATTACAATTTACAACGGCATTTACCGATCCTTCTGATTTGGCTATAATGCATAGACTGCAGCTGGCATGAGCTTCCACATCATTTAATCCCTGTGTTGTATGAGTTTGGTTTCTTTTAACACAACTTTTGATGTTGTATTTAGATATGCTTCATGTTCATGTGGCAAGAGATGCAGCACTTTTCCTATAAATATATTTAGCCGTTTACAGTTAAAGTTTATCTCCTGACAATCATTTAAGATGTCTTATAGTCAAATTAGCGAACCAGTCAATTTTGCAGAATGTAGATTACTTCTTGTAATTGACTTTAAAATTATATTTTATATGCCACAAGAAAAGAAATTGAATTCCTTCAGATCTCAAAGAGCAGGCAAATATGACGACTTCATTTCTAGCTGCAGGGAGATTTTGTAGTCATCTGGAAAAAAAAACAACTTTGAATTGTGCTTTCATTTAATTGAAAAATAACTGCCAAGTTCAAAACTATAATTAGGAAAAAGTATTTTAGCCATTATGTTTCAAGAGCCTAAATTGCATTGGGGCTTGCATTAAAATTAGAATCAAAGCAAACTTAAGAAAATACTGCACAACCTGAACTTAGACAGCTACGTGTACATGGACATATCTATATTAATTTGTTGGGGGGGGGGAGTTCAGTAGCCCTAACTTTTCCTAAAGTTGTCTTTGTTTACATGGCAATTTAAAACGCTGGCACTGTTGAAGTAAAACATACACATTAAAAAAAAAAAAAACTTTGGTCAGCTTTAAGAACTCAAAGCATGCTTACGTTTTGCATTCAGATGGTTAATGAATCCAGTGTTTTTGCAGTTGCAAGCTCGTGCATTCACTGGGCAAAAGCTGGCTGCAGGTTGCAGTGGCACCGCGCAGGACAGACATTAATTATATTTCCCACTTTTTTCAATAATGTTTGGCTACTGTAAGTTCAACTTTTTCTTGATTTTTTTCAATTTTCTGTTGCTTTTAACATCAAGAACTTTGTGTGGGGTGATGGGGAGGAGGGGGCAGGGGAGGGCTGCAGGAGAGTTGTTTTCTCTTGAAAAGTTGTAAGTGGTTAGTAGGGCATGTAACTTGTATCTATTTTAAGGATAATTCTATGGCATTTTTAAAGAATGGAAACATTTTGAGCAAAACGTTGCTTGCTTACAAATGGAGAGGCAGCTAGGCATTTACTTAGAACCACAACCTTCCTCTGGTTTCTCCTGTGTATTTTTTTACCCTAATTTGTTTCATTCCGGAGGGGTGAGTGAGATTTCTTTAATCTTCGTGTTACTCCTTGGTGGTGGAAGGGTTGGGTGATTCTTTCTTAGTGATGCCGGGCTAGGGGCCCTGAGATCAGGCCTAGTTCTGGCAGGGCTGAGGGTGGCCAGGTGCGCAGTTGATGGCTGGGCGTCTCGACCCGCAGAGCTGGAGGGCCTCACTCCAGATTTCCTCCCGGTGCGAGCAGTGAGAGCCAGCGCGAGGGAAGATGAGCGGGGCGCGTGTAGCTGCGGAGAGAACCTCCGCATTGTGTCGGGAGCTCTGCGGCGCGGCGATGTTCACAAGCCCCCTGGATGCACATTGCCTCTTTTCTCTCTTTCTTTTTGTCAGCAGGAAGAATGCCTTCAACCCAACCCAATCCAGGCCAGTACGCACTCACCAACGGGGACCCCCTCAACGGCCACTGTTACCTGTCCGGCTACATCTCGCTGCTGCTGCGCGCGGAGCCCTACCCCACGTCGCGCTACGGCAGCCAATGCATGCAGCCCAACAACATCATGGGCATCGAGAACATCTGCGAGCTGGCCGCGCGCCTGCTCTTCAGCGCCGTCGAGTGGGCCCGCAACATCCCCTTCTTCCCGGATCTGCAGATCACCGACCAGGTGTCCCTGCTACGCCTCACCTGGAGCGAGCTGTTCGTGCTCAACGCGGCCCAATGCTCCATGCCGCTGCACGTGGCGCCGCTGCTGGCCGCCGCCGGCCTGCACGCCTCGCCCATGTCCGCCGACCGCGTCGTGGCCTTCATGGACCACATCCGCATCTTCCAGGAGCAGGTGGAGAAGCTCAAGGCGCTGCACGTCGACTCGGCCGAGTACAGCTGCCTCAAAGCCATCGTGCTGTTCACGTCAGGTGAGGCTGCGGCCGCTGGGAGGGCAGGCCGCGCCAGGAGCCACCTCAGACTCCGCTCCGCCCAGGCGCGGCCTCC